GAAGTAAATGTCCATTGGTCTACATTAAATGAGTATGCTGTCTGCCTCCGTTGCTGCTATCCACCTTTAGAGGGTGACTCAAAGGCTTTTTGTTCACCAGCCTCCATTTAGCCCTAAATAACTTGATCTCAGCCCTATTTTCATTTCTCCTTCCTCCTACACACAGCATCAACCCAGCCTGCCTGCCACATATGGCTCTTTGAAAAATGTAGCAGGAGATGGTGGTAAAAGATGGGTGGTTGGGGGTGGGGGGGTCTCCTCTCCTTTTACCAAAGAACACCTCTTCTCTCACATCACCTCCTAGAAATTAACATTTAAGTGTCAGTTGTAGAATTCTCTCATTTCCAGTGCAGAGAACAATGTGCTCTTGCTCTCCATTCAGTTAGGAAACAAAAGTGAGCATAAAAAGAAAATTTTGGTGGCACCTGTGGACACTGGCCCATTTCTGATAAGGGTTTTTGGTTTTCTTCTTTCTGCAGCTCATTTTGTTGCATTATTTTCACATGACACTATCCTTCACCAGCTTACCACCTGCCAAAGCTGCAAAATGTGTTGCAAACCAAACATGGGTTTCTATGGGCAACATTACTGTGGAGGTGAGGGGGGTGGGAGAGCACCTCCTCCTGTACCAGAGGATCAATCAGTGCTCCTGATTTGGTCACCATAAGTACATTCCATTCTAGACTAGTGTTGACAGTCTGGACATAAAATAAAATGTCAGAATCATATGAGATATCATTCTCATGTCAGTGTGTTAAATACAGAGCTGGAGTCTCTGGAAGCAGGGAAAACAGGTCGACTGACTATGTTCAAAGTTCACTGTTACACCTGCAGCAAATTTAAATTGATAATATGATCTATTTTGTTTAATTAGTCTGGATTCAAAATTAATCACAATGTGTATTGTTAAGTGTGAATGTGTTGTTTCTTGAGGAAAAGGAGTTTATCCTTGTGTAACAGTGATCCAGAATGTTCTCCTCTCTGTAGGTACATTTAATAAATTGTCTGTATTTAGGGAGTTCGTGAGTGAGGTTTCCTTTGTTAAACACCGACCAGAATGAATGAAGCAAACTCACGGGGTGAATAAAAAGGCTTGCAGTTTATGGTGAAAGATTCCAGGTCAGGAGAACAGTTCTTCTGGATCACTGTCACGTCGTTGCACCAACCGCTGTTGATGTAGAAACAGATTCCTCCACCTTTAGTTTTGCCGGAAAGTTCCGTGTCTCTGTCCGCTCTGTAGAGTTGGAATCCTGCCAGCTGCAGCGCAGAGTCAGGTATTAGTCCACACAGCCACGTATCCGTGAAACACAAAACAGCAGATGAATAAAAGTCCCTGTTTTTCCCCAACAGCAGTTGTAATTCCTCCACTTTGTTGGGCAGTGAGGGCACGTTAGAAAGAAATATTCCAGGTAACGGTGTGCGTAATCCGCGCTGGCGAAGACGCACGAACGCACCGGCCCATTTCCCTCGCCTCTGGCGTTTCACTGCGCGAGCAAAGGTGAGCGCACCTTTGACCAGAATGTCCAAAATTTCCAGTGTTGGGAGAAGAAAAGGAAATAAATCCTCTGGTGTTGTAACCCTGATGTTCATGAGCTCTTGTGTAGTGAAGGAGCTCCGCAAAAAACAGAATTAAAACACAAAATAAAACAAAACAACGCCTACCAACACACCGAGGCAACCATCTGCGGCGCCATCTTGATGACCGTGACCGTGATATATTGAATACGGAACCTGGTCATAAACAAAGATAATCAACATACCCATTATAGAAGCATTAATGATAAAAACTGACACACAAGCAATTTGAAGATGTCACATTGCAAAACTGTCATAGTAGACATTGGAAAATTTTTTGGACCAAACAAAAACTAATTGGCAATTAGTTAACAGTGAAATCAATGTCAGCCCTAACAGTTGTGGTTGTACATTACATTTTTCACTGTGAAGAAGAAACTTGTAACCCTTGGCATCCCCACCAAACAGATTCCTGCAGGGGATAACTCAGATTTAAGTTGTGCTCCAGTACTATTAAAGAGGGAGGAAATCTCCACACCAAGGTCACCTATTCTATCGGTCCCTCTGAGGTACTAATACTTACATTCAGGATAAACGGTCTGTATTTATATAGCTATTTTCTAGTCCTAAGCACTCTACAGTACAGTTTTACTTTCACCCATTCACACACACATTCATACTGTGCATCTATGCGCAGCACTTTCTCTATGAGGCAGGGCAATTTGGGGTTAGGTATACTCTTTGGCATGCAGACTGAGGAAAACTAGGATTGACCCACCGATCTTCTGGTCTTCTGGTGTAGAGGACGACCGCTCTAACCCCTGAGCCACATATGCTTCCAGATGCTTATTTCTCCTGGCAGAAAGAAATCTAATCAATTAATCTTCTATTATTATTATGTATATTAATGACTTCAGTAACACAGTTTTTGAAGTGACTCACTTCCTCCTCTGATTCACTGAAGATTATTGTTAGACAGTGTTGTGAGTACAATGTCTTTCCAGTAAGACATAGTAATTCAGGACTTCCTGTCTGTAATTTTCTATGATCAATTGTTCAGTACACATTCGAGTAGGAGAAACACAGATCTTAAGCCCCTGCCCTGTAGTTTCTGAATCTTTTTATAAATACCATTTATGAACTTTCAGAAAAAAATATCAGGGAAGCTACACACTATATATAAAACAGAGTGTAGGTGATGATGGAGAGGGGAACAGAGCTGATTCAAAGTTCAACCACTTGAGATACTGGTGCTCTGTTCACCACATTTCCTTTTATCAGCAATGTTAAAGAGTTATTAAGGAGACCCAAGAAAGGATTTAGCTGTGGTCATCTCCCAGATTTCCTGGCAGGATATGACAGACCAGGATATGATTGACCAATAAAAGAGCAACAGAGCCACAAGTCATCTACACTACTATATATAAGTTTTAAAATGGGTTCTGTCAGTAACAGCTCCACCATATTGTCAGGCAAAGAAATCACTGCACATACTTTTCCCCATTGCTGTTTCTCATTTTTAGTATTTTGTAACCAAACAACTGCAGAATAGTCCATCTACTTCCTGTTTAGGCATGCAGGCATATGAGCAGTGAATAAATTAAGTCAAGGGGATGGAAATACTTCTGATACAAAACTAAATGGTCACATGGATCATTATTGCTTAGTCAAAAAACACGTGTAGATGTAGAGAGGCAAAAAGGAGAATAAAAATTGTAAATCTTGATTGAGAAGCGTTAACTAGAAGACAGGCAAAGATGCAGATCACAATCACACTAGTGCTTGTTTAAAGTGTCCTGTCATTTGGTAAAACAAGAAACAAAAAACTTCAAGTTTCTGTAGTTCCCAAGTCTCAAAAATGATTACTCAGAAGTTGTTTGTTTAAATGCAAAGTTTGTCGTTCTGTATCTCAAGTGTGTGCTGTTCTCATGATTAGAATTGTTGTCGTGTGTGGTGCCCCACATCCCTCAGTTAAGATTTGAAATTCCTCTTCTGTGCAGCAGGCATAACAGGGAAAAGAGCAAAGCATGGATAGGGAAAACACACAATTCAATCAATAACCTTCGAGTGGACCAGAAAAAGCATGAAAGTTGCGCTCTTGTCATTTTGGGTTGCAGTCAATGGATGACTGATGTACGTCAGCTCAGATGGAGTTGAGAATTTGATCTGTACTTGTTTGTGGGACTCCAGCACATTTCTTTTGACCGACAATATGTGACCTTAGAACAATGACTGTTTATAAATCTCAACAACAGGATGGCTCTTCAAAAGTGAAGTTGTCCTTGGTTGTTGAGAAATCGCTAAACTTTTGATTTGTGGTTTGATGTGCACGTGATTTAAGTGGTGCAGTCATGTTTTGCCCAACGGAGACAAAAACATCAGGCCTTTCTTCTCCACTACAGACCTAGAAAAGCCATACCTTTATTTCTTCCAGGCTTGACTACTGCAATGCACCTTATTCAGGCATCAGTAAGAGAAACATTCAAAGACTGCAATCAATTCAGAATGCTGCTGCCAGAATTTTAACGTCTACTAAGAGAAGCTACCACATCACACCAATCCTTGCTTCTCTCCACTGGCTACCTGTGAGATTTAGGATTTATTTTAAGATTTAACTGCTTATTTTTAAAGCTTTGAATGGTCAGGCTCCAGCCTAAATATGTGATTTGTTAACCCCCCCATGAGCCTTAACGCTGCCTGAGATCTTCCAGCTGGGCCCTACTATCAGTTCCAAAATCTCGACTGCTCACCACAGGTGACCGGGCCTCCCCTCACTGCTCATTAGTGTGTATGTGAGGGACTTTCTCATAGTCGAGCCAATTGTGTGTGACCTTGAATTTGTTAGCCAAGTTTGATCAACGCAAATTTTGACATTCACAGGTCAAGCTAACTGGTCGTAGAACAGTTATATTACTGGTCATAGATCACTGGCCATTTAGAGGTCAAGCTATACAAAATAATATCTTAGGCAGGCATCTTCTTTTAAATCTCTTCTTAAGACTCATTTTTAGCAAATGGCCTATTTTTAAGTTCCTATTGTTATATTGTTAGAATTTGTGAATCTTACATATTTTATTATTGTAAAGCACATTGGTTATGAAATGTGCTATATAAATAAAGTTATTATTATTACTCACATGGGCTTTTGGACATTCATTTTCGTAGGGGGCTGGAGAAAGTCTGGAGCCTCTCACTCTGACAATTGCATTCTCATATACAGCCCCACCAGAGAATGTCAGGTGATTATACAGAGTGCATGTCTGAAAGCAGCTTTTGTAAAATCACGTGGCATAAAAAAGGTGTTAAGGGGTTAGCTGTGTATCTGAATCTTTTGCTGCCTAAAGCTTTATACAACACCAACATACTTTAATGTCAGGATACATTGGATTCTATTTCATTCCCATGGTATAAATTGTTTGTCTATGTTGGATTTGTTGCCTTTCATTAACTCTGTCATGTTGCTCCTCTCTCTTGCTGTCTTCCAGAGTCTGCAGCTCTCCTCTCAGGGACAGTCTTCTGCAGCCCTTGGTTGATCACGGGCTTGTCTGGCATCTTTCATCTATATCATTCCTCTTTCCATCTTCCCATCCTTCCCCCTGTCATGAAGGGCTTATCTAGTAGTCGGAGTCACCATCATGTGGTCTCCTATGAGCCATCATATGATCCACTGGGTTACCATGTTGACCGCAAGCCATATTTGATCAGTCAGATGGACATGCCTGTGCCCATCCCCATGCCGCATCCAGCTGATATGCCCTTCTACAATTCTCAGCGTACCTCGTACCCCTCTGACAGCAACAGCATCGTCCCATATGGAACCTTCCCAAGGAGGTGCCACTCAACCTCCTCATCTCACCATCCCGAGGTAAAGGATGAGTGTATGGCCATGGTACCATATGTAGGAGGAGGAGGGGGAGGAGGAGGAGCTGGAGGAGGCTATGGAGGTAAAATGCCCAACCGGGTTCAAGCACACTTTGCAGACCCATTTGAGCATCAGCTATCATTTTCCAGAGATGGCTACCATACACTGCAGTACAAACGAGGAATGCAGCCCCACAGTGGGGGCATGGCAGCCAACAACAACAACAATGACAGCCCTGGGAGAATTCGTCACCTTGTCCACTCAGTCCAGAAACTCTTCACCAAGTCACATTCATTGGAGGGCCCACACCACACGCAGTCCACAAAAGGGGCCAATAATGGAAGCATTAATGGTGGCGGTGGTGGTGTTGGAGGAGGTGGTGGTGGTGGTTCAAGGGCCTGCCCAGAGGGTGAAACTCCACCAGTGGGAGTGCGCCACCGGAAGCGCAGCAAGAGCCGCGAGCGCTGTCGTTCAGCCGAGCCCAAGCATCGTAGCCACCATCACCACCACCACCAGCTCCACGGCTCAGCATCTGCTCCGGGCTCTGGATATTGGAGCTCAGATGACAACCTGGAACGGGAGCTGTGTCTCTACCACCCTCACCACCACCAACCACCACCCTCACCCTCACCCTCCATTTCTCCCTCACCCATCGCTATGACAATGGGCCGCTACCCCAGCAACAACCCCGACACGTTCCCCCAGGCGCCAATCCCCAGTCTCTCTTCCTCGCAGTCCCAGCAGTACTTCATGATGGACCCTTACGGCACACTCAATGAACATACACACACCCATGCACCCCATGGCCACACACACCACCATCCTGCACTCAAAGCCTCCCGGAGCAACAACGATGTGAAGTATGCAGCGCCATCAGCATGTGTGCCAGTTAGTGGTAGCAGCAGTGGCCGTATCGGTGGAGGAAGTGGCCCCTTGCTGCCACTGAGTCTTGTGGATGGGCCCCTCGCGAAGAAAGGGGCATGGTCATCGAGCCTAACGGTGAGCAGGGCCAGAGAGGTTTACACCAACAGCAACATCCACAACCACCTACGAGCCAGCGCAGGATCCGGTAACCTAAACCTAGATAGAGCTCTAGTCAAATCTAAGGGCAGTCAGCAGCAGGAGCGCTCTTGCCATTTCTTACAGGTAAATAATTCCACCCCGACTCCCATTCAAAACCAGTCAATTCACCCTTCTCCCCTCTGTTGATTTCCTTTCCCTCACGATTTACTTTCCTCACCTATGTTACCTCAAACACACTGGTATCCAGTCATGTGAAACTTCAGGTTTTCAATCCTTCCAAACACTACTCTCTCAGGGCATTAGCTATCCCTGTGTTCAGCCTGACACGATTCTGAAGGTGTCTTGATATTCCCTAAAGTCAGTGAGCAGAGTAAAGAAAGGTGTATTTAAAGGTCCAGTGTGTAAGATTTTGGTGAAAGGGAACTATTGGCAGAAATTTAATGTAGAATAATTCTCATGATGTTTTCACTAGTTCGTTTGATCTAAGTTGTATGAATTGTAGTTTTCTTTACCCTAGAAAAGGTCCTCTATATTCAAATACTTCATATTTACATTGAGGAGACCCTCTCTACGGAGGCCGCCATGTTTTTTACAATAGTCCAGACTGAACAAACAATTAAAGGCTACCACGTTTTTTTTTTCATGTTTGGAAGGCAAGGGTGAGGTGAGGGGTGTTCAGCTGCAACATGCAATTTCAACACTAGATATCACAAAATTCTACACACTGTACCTTTAATGATACAATAATTATCTGTCTTTTCTTTGCAGCTGAACATCCAGTGTTCTTTAACAATATGGCATTGAATCTCTGTTAAAAATTGTTAGCTCTTTATTTTAAGAAAAAATATGTTATGTTAAAGACTAAATTCACCTAATATTCTGTCTTTCTATTGAAGCTTCAAGTAGAAGACAAGCTACATTGGGCTGTGTGGATCCTGCAGTGTGACTTAATCAGTCTGAGGCTCCTCATGGCTCCATGATCACCAAAATCTTATAGCTTTTGTCTTTTGAGGGACATTGTGTTTTACGTGATAGTTGGACAGGTGGCTTTCTAATTAAAAAGGTCTGCATGGGTTGGACAATAGTCAAGAGTGCTTAGGGCAGGGGTGTCCCTGATTTCTATGTTTTTTAGTAAATGGAACTTTACATGACAACCATACCAGGGGTTAGTGGACATGTATTTCAGTTTGCTTGGCTGCTCTGAGTCAAAGCCAAGAGTGATTTCATCCTCAGTCCCTGCATTGCTTAGTGTATGGGTGGAATGACAACTGCACATTTACATTACTGCAAACATGACTGGACAACATTGGCTAAGGCTGGGGACACACTAGAGCTGGCCTTTCTGCATGATTCAATCTTGACCAAATGTATCAACTTAAGATTCAATTTTTACTATCTTCAGGATATCAATCAATCCTATCAATCCCTCTATGTGATCAGCACCGCAGACCATGGATCCTTGGATTTTTGGAAATGTTCCTTTAAATTTTTTTAAATTATTTAGTTTGTTCAATAATGTATTATTAGTAATTTATATAGATTTAAAATGATAGTATGAATTATTAATGATCATTAGGGCCGCAGCTGCCATTAACAAAATACTGTAACATTTATTCAACCATCAATATAGTTGGAAATGATATTTGACAATGATCAACTAATCAATGAATCAGCTTATTGTTTCAGCTCTAATAGGGATATTGTTGGATGACATGGGTTGGAAAAGGTTATGAGCCACATACACAGCTATGATTGATAGCTGGCTGATTACTTGTGTCTTGTTAAAATAGTAAATGTGTGTAGTCTTCAGGAGAACAGCAGGTAGTGAAGTTTAGTTCTTCTCTCAGGATTTGGCGATGTTGCTTTCTGTAACCGATGGTGACATCACCTGACCATTTCAATAACTAATGAAATGCTAAAGCTAATATTCATGGACTAAGTATGAGAAAAAGATAATCTAATTGTAGGCTTTACATGCAGATTTGAGTTCTTTGGTTTTCACACAACAAATGCTCATACTATCGATCAGTTGCACCTAGCACTGATTTTTTAATTAGCATGTGCTTTGTAGCTAAAAAAGTTTTTACTTGGCCATGTGGCGGTCCATTATGTCATCTGACCAACATGTTTATCAAAGGTGCAGTGTGTGAGATTGACTTATGATGTTTTCACTCGTGTGTTTCATCTAAATTGTTTCGAAGTGTTGTTTTCTTTACCCTAGGATGGGCCCTTTATATTTGAATACTTTAAATTTATATCAGGGGCAGGTAGCAGTAGCCCAACCTGGACAAACTAAACTCTACACACTAAACCTTTAAATAAGTAAATTAAATAGCTAAATTCATTTTTTGTCCATAGTTCTAATCTGATTCAATCTGATCAGTTGTTGCTGGCCTCTTTCTTAGTTTTGCCTTCTTCTCATTTTTAGATGGCAGAATTTACTTAGAAATCTATATTTAAAAAATAAGACATCACTGAAGAGACCAACTGCTTCAATGTAATTCACCACATTCTTATCACCTAGAATTAGTAATGCTGAATTTATCATGGTTAATTTCATTTAAATTGAGACAATGATATATTTGCATTGTGGATTACGGAGTAATATAGAGTAAATTTTCTTGAAGTCGAACTGAGAAATTGTTAATGAAATAACCGGATGGAAATGTTGGTCATTGTAGTGAAATAAATATGTGACAAATGAAAGTGTAATTCCATGGCCTTGATGCATGCTGCTTGTCTGATACTTTCATTAATATAATGTTCAGGTTTTCAGATTTTGAACGTCACTTGCTGTAATAACTTCAACTGAGTCTATATATGAACATAACAGCCTCCACTCCACCAAAGACCAGTAAATAGTAGATAATCACTCTATTATTTGGCTTCACCAGCTGTCATGATAATAAAATAAGCAAAATCTCTAAACATTTTAGCCTTTTAAGTAGAGCTACTTTGTACTCCATCAGAATCTTATGTCCATAGATTAACTGTGCAGTGTCTATTTAGAGTCAGGCTGTATTGTGTCCACAGCCTTAGAGTGAGCATTGCTTTGTTTTACCAGTTTATTACTTTTATCTCTAGAGAACCCCACTGCAACCCCCTTCCTCTTCTGTACCACTCCTCCCCTCCTGCCTTTCCTCCACTCACCCATCTCACACCCACACTTCCTATCAACCCAACCCCCTACTACCCACCAACCCACCTCCTTTAATTCCTCTTCGTTTGGAGAGCCTGCCTCTTCCTTGTCCTCTTCCTCCTCTGTCCTCCTTTTGAGTTGAAGAGAGAAGTAAGTGCAGAGTCAGTAGCAGCCTTACTCTCTGAATGCTAGGCAATGACATGAACTCATGAAGAAACGACATCCTTTCCTGTTTGTAGACCTCATTTTTAATTTAGTAGTGCCTTCCCTTCCTGCCTCTCTATCAGTTATTATCCCTCTCAATATTTCCGTCTTGATGGTTTGTTTGTGTTTTGCTGTGGTGTTTTTTGAAGTGCTGAACAGGATGTTGGGGAGGTGTTTAACTACATACTATATACATTCATATATAGTAATGAAATATTTCTAATTCAACACAATTAAACTGTGAGTTTATTGATAATCTTTAATCATCATTTTTAGATTTTCATTTGATAAAACTGCCAGACTGAATGAATAGTTGTAACAGTGAATCCATGACTGAATTATAAAGGCTTAAAGGACCATACCAGTTGTTTTGAAAGCACCAGTCATCATCTGAGGCATTCAAACTTATTTGAGCTTATCTTTAATCATCTGCCTGTTCCAAGTTGTGATGCACCCACTGTTAATTCCCACCAAAACACATCCACACTTATGAATCACTATAGACTGGTGGACATAAACAGTAGAATCCTACTGTGTAATTCTGTATTGAATCAGTCAGCAGGACAGATTGAATGCTTAACCAGGAAAGAACACTCAATACTGGATTCATATCTAATAGTGAATACATGAAAGAAGCATTACTCATTTGCAATCTACAAACAGTGTTTGAGCTGTGTCCCTCCAATGATTAATTCTCTTTTGGCCATCAACCTTTAAATATATTCAGCTTGCTCCAATGTGTTCTGAATGGTAGCTGTAAAAGTTAAATGCGCTCCCCAGCTCCCACTGCTTCTGTTTTCAATACTGTCCTATGTGCAATAATGTCTCTCTCTCTCTCTCTCTCTCTCTCTCTCTCTGTCTCTGTGTATGCACGTGTGAATGTTAGGAATTCTCTGACACAATACATATTGATTACATATATTTAGTAGAATAAGGCTGTTTATCTTTATGTTTTTTTACCTGATCAGCTCCTAGTTTGATTTTAATGCTTTTCGCAGTCTATACACACAACACATTGTCTATGTTTACCTTTTGCCTTGATAAATACACTCTAATGTCGGATCTGTACAACCTGTTTTGTCATATCAACCACTCTGTGGCTCCTACTTTCTTCTGACTAAGGGATAGTTCACAGAAAAATTAAAATTCACTCATTATCTCCTCAGCACTATGCCGATGGAGGGGTGGGTGAAGTGTTTGAGGCCACAAAACATAAGCAGTTTCAGGGGTAAACAGCTTTGCAGCCCGATCCAATAAAACAGAAACTGGCAATCATGTCTTCAGCATGCCTCCATACTGATCCTGTGGCGTCCAAGTGTTCGTAAGCACTGACATTCAAATCTGAATCGAAACAGCATCATCAAGCTTTTAGAGTAAATGTCCGCTAGTGAAATTAGCAATGCTACTGTGCACCCCACACACCCTGTGCATGCCCTTGGTTGAGAGCGTGTGTACAGTGTGTACAGTGTGTGTGGGTTGCGAACCTGAATGTGGCGCAAGAGGAGGATATCAGAAGACATTTAAGCTAAAAACATGGTGTGAATGACACATTTCTAGTCAAATTTTAATTTGCATTAAATTGAAAGGCGACAAACAATCAAAAAAACAAAACACTTTCCCATTTCTAATAGTATTTCCAGAATCCTGCTTTGGCTTCCAAACATTGTCAGTTAATTATGTTGTAGAGAGACGGATGGTTACCTCGATAACTTAATACATGAGAGGCACAAACTAGGGGTATCCTCAGGTGATGGAACAGATCATTGGAATCACTGTGTATTTCAGGAGTTTAGACCTGTGTGGGTAGAAGATTATCAGTGGCCTAGACTTTCACATTCACTTCCTGCTCTGTGTTTGCCTCATGCCAGTCTCACCAAGCAGCTGTGTGACTCATTTTTTAACTGTGATACATTTATTCAAATGTATCATAGATATTCAATATGTAAGTAGTGCATCAGGAATAATTATTTTTGAGTGATTCATCATGAGTGTGAAATCTATGAACAACAACTATGAAACATTGGTTATCCTGATAAATCCCAGCAAGTAATGTGCCACGATTGTTTTAATGATGTTCATAAACCAAGTAGAAAATATGTATAATGACATATTGGTGAAAAGGACATTTTCATGTCAATGATTACACAACCTATCACCCTGTTGTTAGCTGACAGCATTTGCTGTTGTTAATGGTTGACTAACATTGTTGAGAGTAATTCTGCTAGCTATGGAATATGACAGCATTGAGACAGACCAAGACATCGTACTGCAGTGGGAGTGTGGGAACTTGCCATTTGTCTTAAGTAGTTGTAGCATTTCTTAACTGACAAAGCCAGAACTGCAGATCCATTTCACTGCTAGTTCATAGCTATACTGCTAACCCCAAAGTCTCTGCTCAAGTCCCCAGCCTCACCACTGACTTAAAGCAGCTGCACTACTTGTGTAACAGTATTTAGTCTGAGTCAAGGGCAGTTTATCAACTACCGTTGTCACGCTTGATGTTGGCTTTACCTTACCAGTCTTACCTGGTTGGTCAACACAAAACCCAAGAGGGCGTGCAATGGGTCAAGTTGATAGTGAGCACCCTCTGCTGGATCATGAGGCAAACTACTTCAGGTCTGATGTGCCTCGAAAAATTTTGAATCTGAACAGATCATTACAGTTCGGATTTAAACATTTCCCCTCACGTTCAAATGAATGTTCAAATTTGAAATGAGAAGTGACAATCCTAATCTTTTATGAGACACTGTCCTGATATCAGATGTAAGGAGAGATATTGCTTCCACTCAGTTATTGTCTAGTTGATGTCTATTTTTAGTTTTATCAGGTTAAGCACTGCTTGCCTTGCTTGTCCTGACACTTGGTTAGACAATTAAAACTTCTGAAGTTTTGGGAACCAAATAATTATCATTAAGTAAACCAAAATTACACTCTCACACACTTTTGATTACTGACTTGCTTGTGCAAAATTATCAGTTTTATTTAATCTACAGTTGTATAGTAACATTTCAATTAATTTTTATACAAAAAAATACAGACAGGTTTCAGTGCAAGTTTCTATTTTTGCTGATTTGTAATTTATTATTTATTCATTAATGTCTTTAGGTGTCAGAGATTATGAACATGATAATGTTTAAAAAGAGAACACGTATTCACAAAAATAGTCACCCTGCATTAGGTTTTACATTGACTTTCTGACTCTGTGATGAGAAATGCCCAGGAGAGAGTGTGTGTGTGTGACACAAATGGTTATTGCTTGTTTTCCTAGATTACAGACACAAGCAGTGTTAAAAATCCAGCCAGAGCAAAGACCACTGCACACAGCTCTGCAATGGCCAAAAACATTGTGACATTGCTTTCAGACCTGCACTATTTTATATAATAAAAGTATAGTATTTAGAAGATTAAGTTACAAAATCTCTGTCAGGCTGTAATATAAAATACACAGTAGATGCTGTAGACACGACACATTGAGTCACTGTGAATGTCACATGCACAGTGTTTTCTCCAAACATTGGCAGACAGATAGAGTATAAAACCCTAGAAATGCATTAAATGTCCCCCCCATAGAATCTGTGCAGATTCCACAGTAGAATGCAATGTTCCACTGTTCCTTACCCATTACAGTTGAATGAGTTTTGAGCTGCAGTGGAAATGAGGCCTGTGCGTGGGTGAGAGATGCTGCTGATGCTACTGCAGCTGGTCCTTTCCCCGCATTCTCTTTTTATAGCCAAACTGCTCATTTGTGTCTCTTTGACGTCACAGACACACACACATACACGCACATGCACACACCCACACAAACACATGCACACACATATTCCAGAGAGAGAGAGACAGAGTGAGAGAGATTGAAAGAGACAAAGATCTGTGATTCATATATAAATTAGCCACAGTAGCAGTGCTGCTGTCTGTCTCTGTTATTGCCTCTCAAATTCTCACACTCAGGCCTCCAGTCTGAAGTCAGAATTCCTCACAAGTATGATACGGTGCTGGAATCAATCCACCGGGCACAAATACACTAAAAATGTTTGGCTAATTAAAACTAATACGCTGCAGTGGAATAGGCATATACCAACCAAACCAAAAAGCTACAGATACTGACATGACGGAGCCTCCTCACAGCTAAAGTAAACTGTTAGTTCAGCAGCCTTTGGTGAGACCCACCAGTCTCTGAACACTTCAAACCATATGTATGTAAGCCTGTGCTTTGGTCTCTGGAAGGTCTGAGAAAAATAGTATAAGGGTCAGGTTTTCTCAAGCTGAGGATAACTTAGTGTCTCATTTACCTACTGGAACGTGCATGGATGAGCAAAATTGATCCGACTGTTCCTTCTTTTTAATGCAGACATTAAGTTGGTGTCTTGGTCATAGCTCAGTTCTGAAGTCCGTAAAATCTGAAATACTGTATGGTGGAGTATCCTTTCTATTGGGCTAATGACAACTTAATTTGAATTTAGGTTATGCCAGTTTCATGGTTGTCATGTGGAGCCTGCTGGTTCTTCATCATTAAAGCTAAGTGGCGCAACATTAGTGTGATTAGTTCCGCCTCCTTCTATAAGTTAATATGGCGGAGAGGCCACTGTGGCAGAGAACTGTGGTAACACAGGCCTTCATGAAAAAGCTATTAGTATAATATATTCTATACAGTATATTAAACATTATTGTCAGAAAATGTACATTTGTAAAGTATCTCTTGACTCAACAATCTCCTCACAACAGCCCCCCCAAATATATCTGATTTTGTCCCCAATTGGTCAAGGTCAACAAAAATATTGTCTAAACAATAAAAATGACAATGATAACAAAGTCACTCCACCAAGCTTTTCATTTGTCATTTTCATTTGTCTTCACCCCCAAAGAAAGCATATGACATACACACACACAGCTTTGTGTTGATGAACTGGGCAGACTCCTGGAAAGCAGATAGATGAATTAGTCATGCTTATTAACCAAACGACTGTACCACAGCAGAGTGGGAACTGGTTAGGACTATGTGTGTGTATGCGTGTGTGAATGAGTGTTGAATTTAAATAAAATGCATGCTATCCTTGTCAATTCTTTCTATGTGGTGTGTTGGTATTGTACTGCATATTAGCTGTATCTTTTAGGTCCCATGTGTCATCAGGACAGTTTAGGCAGCCAGTGTTGCAGTTGGGACTTAGACCGCAGTGGAGCGGATCCTCTTGACAATGTTTCTCTGCCCTCTCTGCCTGGTCATCAGGTACCTCAGGATGAGTGGAGTGGCTTCTCTCCTCTAGGGAAGGAGGACGACATCCCCTGTCGGAGGATGAGGAGTGGCAGCTACGTCAAAGCCATGGCTGAGGATGACAGCGGAGACTCTGATGGGAGTCCTAAACCCTCACCCAAGATCCAGGCCCGCCGGGCCAGCTACCTAAAGGCCACACAGCCATCACTGACTGAGATGACCACTCTACAGTAAGATTTAAATGTTTCTGTCCTAATCAGCTCCACTATTTGTGTCTGACTCTGCATCGTACTCTATAGACCTCCAATACCCCTTGTCCAGCAAAGCAGTTCCAGGGCCAGTTTGGAGCCAGTGCCAAATCTGTAACCAGTTCTTTGTGTTTCAACAGTCTGATAACACGGTGTGTGTGTGTCTGTGAGTGTGTTTGTGTGTGTGTCCGAGAGGAAGAGAGTGAGTGAGTGAGCAGTGTTGGGGGTTGGTTGAATAAAATAATGAATGCCTGCTAAATAGGTTTTAGACATTGAAGAAAAGTATTGCTCATTATATGGTGATCAGTGTTGATAATGTGGTGGTGGTTACAAACAAATCAATGTTAAACTAGTGGGTCAGAGACATCAGCTGAGGTTGTGTGTGTGTGTGTGTGTGTGTGTCTGGATGTCAGTGCAAGAGAGAGAGAGAAAAGTAAATGAGTGGAGTCAGGTTGGACTAAATGAATATATGTATAATTTGATATATTATATAAAAAGTGCCATTTCCTGGTTTCATTTACACAGTGTTGGTGTAGAGCTGTAGACAGTGACGTGAATGGTGACGTAATGTCATGGCTCTAAGGCGACGAAAAAGCAAACTGGTTATTAAAAATCTGAAAGTTGAACCAACACTAGCACCAGTCCAGCATTATATCTCGGTTCACTTTGGTGGAGAAGGGGTACTATAGTTTTAACTTTGAGTTTTCTTAGCTCTTATCCGTAGTCAGCAACATGCTTTGATTTGGGGATTTTGATTTTCACCTCTTCACCTCCACCTCACTCACAAACACCTTGATGATGGTATCAGAAAGTTTTGCTTCCTCTTTTTCTCGCTTGATGCCGTGACTCACCGTGGTAACCCATTAGTCAGCAGGATAATTGAATATTCATGAGGTGTTTCCAGTAGGACTGTGATTTATAAAGTGAACATTGCGTGCAGGTGTGGGCAGTTTTATAAATCAGACTTTTTTTTCATACGCCATGTTTCGCTTTTGTGCGCATGTATCTAGGAGCTCTTAGGCTCTCACAATCACCATGGTAACTTCTGCTGAGCAGCTAGGCAGGTTTAGTTAGAGATAAGAGATCAACCCATATAAAAGCTCCGCCCACTGACCAATCAATTCCTGTGGAGCAAAAAAAAAAAGGATTCCGAAAAGGAGCCTGGTGCGTGTATTGTTAGAGGGTCTCTGAGGAGGACAAGGGTCTTCAGAGACCAGCAAAATTATTTTTATATCTTTATGAAAGATGTAAACTGTCATTGGAGGGAATGATAAACCTTTGTCAACGACTGTAGCCGAACCTAACCAACCTGACACGTATGAGCAATGGGCTGCATTCACCAATATCTTTTGAAGAATTTCTTAAAAAAGATTTGTTCTTAAAAAGTTTTCTAAGAAACCTCTATGTCATATTTATGAATTGTTCACATCTGTGTTATTACATTGATGAATGCCATGTGTTGGTAAATTGAAAGCATGTGCCAGTTTTTCTAATTAGCATAGCATCGGGACTGGATATCGGGGTCGGGTTCAGATAAAATGTTTTTAATAAAATTCTGGTATAGGTTGGTGCTTGGTGCGCGGTGCATCCATGGACCTGGGTGCACCATGTGGTGCGGTTGCATCTCCTGAGCCATTTCTTGTCTGAGAACAGAAATAAACTCAGGTATAAATTTTTTTTACCGGCTACCGATGGAACATTTTAACTAAAACCTAAAGATCGGAGACTATTTTTGTGACTAAATATTCTCCTCTTTGACATTTCCATGCATTTAAAAAAATATATTATGCACTGAAGCTTGTCTTGCTTCTGAATGCTGCAGAGATTTGTGTGTTGTGAATGCTGTGAGCAGAGAATCTTCTGCTACATTGTTAATATGTGAAAGGCAGTAAACAGTTGAGTAACCACCATATGTAAGCTCTCTCAGACTGGTTGTTATAATAAAAGTTATAACAGTGATATTCATAAATGTGATGATGTTATTAATGATACCAACTAATAATAATGACAATAGTGATATTAAACATATGAGCTCTGCCTGACCTCTGTCTGATTACAATCTAACTTTAATACAATGAAGGGTGCCATAGGCAGAAACATAAGATTGTTGTGGATTCACCAGTGACTCCTATGATCCTCTACATGGAAGAGGTGGAAAGCAGATCCCTGACCTCCTTTGCAGGGACCGCACCCAGCCATTGGTTCAGATTTATGACAACCTGGTCAAAATGAAAACACGGGAGGTTGAAGTCTCCTCACAACTCATCAAGGCAGTGGATACAAATATTAAAGGGATAGCTTACCCAAAATTGAAAATGTAATCATCATCTGCTCACCACTATGCCGATGCAGAGGTGGGTGAATTGTTTGACTCGAAACAGCGTCATTTATGCCATGGTGTAAAGTCGAATTTGAATGTTAGAGTTTACAGACACTTGGATGACACAACATGAGCAGTATAAAAGTGTTACGTTGACTCAAACACCCCCACCATCGGCATAGTGGTGAGTAGATAATAGAACTATTCCTTTAAGTGCACCAGTGTTCACCAGTCGAACATCCTCCCTCTCTGATATTCAATCCTCAATGTCCAACGGTTATCTTAAATTCAGTGAAGCCTGAGGTCATCCTGTTTATTCCCCTTAATTCCACCTTCTATGGTACTGCTAATCTTTCTGATCAGTATCACACAGATTTGTCACAGCAGAGACTCTGCCAGCTTCCAATGCTCCTGCGTTGAATAACTTCAGCAACTTAATCACTGGTGATCTATGCCCTAACTGAAATAGAGGATTAAAAGTAAATTCAGAGATAACTGTGCATTTAATTCTACTTCACTGTTCTCTCTCTGACAGGATTTCGACGGAGCACTCTCCCAAGCTGCAGATCAGGAGCCACAGTTACCTGCGTGCGGTGAGTGAGGTTTCAATCAATAGAAGCCTGGATACCCTGGACCCCAAAACCCTCCTCGACCCTAAATCGCTGCTGTCCTCACCCCAATACCGTTCTCGCAATGAAAGCTACATGAGGGCCATGAGCACCATCAGTCAGGTTGGTTGCCAACACTGCTGACTTTATATTTATAGTAAAAAAAACACAAATCATGTCTCATGCACTTTGCTGTCATATGATGTTTATACCCAGTCACAGTTTACAGATGGGTTCACTGTATTGCAACCTCGAAATACGTATGAGGATTCATTTGCATTCACACAGCAAAAAGAATGTGAATAGGTTCTTTCTTGGCCTATGCCCTTGTACTTTTATTTTGTGGAAATCCGTTACTGTCGTACTGTGTAACTGACATACAAACAAAAACAAGCATACAAGAAACGAACAGGAGTGAAAACTAAAATTCGGGAGAGGTAAATATATAAGATACATCAGAGGGCAGGGGAATTTATCTTATAATAACCAGAGATTACATCAAGTGTGTACATCAACTGCAGCCAGTCCTGTTAATCCTGTTGCAGTCTTAAATGTAAACTGGCAAGTGTCAGTCCTGTGTTAAAAAAATGACAAAGAAAAGAAATACATTCCTGATTGAGGTTTGATAGAGAGCAGCATTAGTTTGAAAATGTATTAGACAGAGAGAAAGTTATCACTTAAGTGTTGGGTCAGGGTCGATGTGTTGTAAACAAAATCATGTGATCTCTGTAGCAGAATAATAGTCTTACCTTCCCAAATCTGAAAATAATTTCTAAAAATGTACCTTTTTCATTGAGTCTGAATTACTTTTGCTAAAAGCTAGTGTGCTGCTGTAATTATTATGCATTTAAACACACATTGATATTTGTCTTTGGTTGGCACACATTGATTTGAGTTTTTAAGAGCAAAAAGGAAAATTGCGAATAACTCCAGGAGAGATGACACTAATGCACATGTTTAGCGTTTTATTCCTTTTTGAATTTTAAATGGAGCGATGCTTGCAAGCTAGTTTAGGCAGCCAACTCGAGCTGCACAGCTCCAATTATGTGACCTACCTCACATTCTACAATAATGAATGGGACACACCAACCCGATTTGGTGGTCTATTTCAGTTGCAAAAATTTCCCATCATTCCCTTTGCTTGACCTGTTGACTTCACTTTCAGGGTTATTTATCGTAGTTTTTCCTAACTCTTGCTGAGGGTTAAGGACAGTGGATGTTGCACCTCGTTTAACCCTATAAGACAAATTGTGATTTGTGAATAAGTGCTTTTGTGCTTTTTGCATATCAAACTGTTTACTGCACCCCCAATGCTTTAATATATATTTGCATGCCTCCCTAATGCTATTGTTGCATTTTAGACGGTTACTGCAGCCTTGATGCTTGTATATGTATCTGCTTTACTGTCTAATGATATTGTTGCATATCAGCTGGTTTCCTGAGTTTTTAATTTTGTTATAGTTAAAGGTACTGAAAGGGTGCCTTTGGCAGAATGGCCTCATAGTGGTTGAAACGCTACACGTTCTGCCATGTTGCGCAACACTAGCAGCAGCAAACTCCGAGTAAACAAACACAGCTGATGGTCAGCTGTGCTGCGGCTGCGCGCCTCGGTGACGTCACCCCAGTGAAAGCCCGGGATGTAAACAAAGCAACTTGGGATCACAGGGGACTAGTGCTGGCGATTCATAGTAAATAAAGAGTTTTGCGGCAGATAATGTGTTATTTAAAGGCTGTATTGTGGATGCCCCAATCACTTGCTTTGTATGGATATACGCCGATCGCGTGTGGTTCTAAAAGCGTCCGAAGTTACTCCAAACCTTTATGGGTGAGTAGATCTACATACCATATGCTGGAAATGAGGTCCAGGTTGAATAAAACGAACTTCTCCTTTAAGGGGCCTTGAAGGTTAGGAGGAGAATTTTAAATTCTAGATTTAACTGGAAGCCAGTGTAGTGAAGCTAATACAGGAGATATGTGATATCTTTTCTTGGTTCTTGTCAAGACACATGCTGCAGCATTTTGGACAAGCTGCAGTCTTTAACGACTTACTGCTGGAGCCTGATAATAAGGAATTACAATAATCAAGTCTGGATGTGACAAAGGCATGGACTAGTTTTTCTGCATCTTTTTGAGACAGGACATGTCTGTTTTTTGACATATTAAGTAAGTGAAAGAAGGTGGTCCTAGAAATTAGTTTAAAGTGAGAATTAAAGGACAAATTGGGATCAAAGATGACTCCCAAATTCCTGACTGCCTTATTGGAAGCAAGGGCAATGTCATCTAGCGCAGCTATATCATTAGATAAAACCTCTGTTTCATCTGAGTTTAATAAGAGAAAATTTCGGGTCATCCAGGTTTTTATGTCCTTGAGACATGCTTGAAGTTTAGTTAACTGATTTCACTGTTCTGATTTTATTGATAAGTATAACTGGGTGTCATCCGCATAGCAGTGGAAATTACAGTGTGTCCTGATAATGTTTCATAGTGGAAGCATATATATTGAGAATAAAATTGGGCTGAGCACAGAGCCCTGTGGAACACTGTGGTTAACTTTGCTGCACATAGATGGCCCATAATTAATTTGCACAAATTGGAATCGATCTGAAAAATATAATTCAAACTAGTTATTGAGATACGTGACCAAATCAACATGTCTCCTTATTGAGGAGTGTGATAGATGTTAGGATGGATTAAGGATCCTGTGTGCTGATCTGAAGGACTATAGGAGACTGAGTTCAGGAAGCTTCAGGAAATCATGTGGTCGGGCTTTGGATACACATGTAGGCCCAACTATTGTTCACCAATAGTAGGTCCCAACAGAATTTTGTGAAGTAGGAGTAGCAGGATGTACTGTTTGCTGTCAAACTCAGAGAGATCACAGATCTGAGGCCACCTCCTCAATTGGCAGCTCTGGGGTTTATGTCTGCCAGATATGGCATCGCAGAAATGGCCACTTGTTGAGGCCAGCCACGCTGAATTGTCAGTTGGAGACAGGTAACCTTTTTTTTTGTGCTCACCTCCAATTCTCGTATTTCTGATCACTAAACGAAACAAAGGTAAGTGTGAAGACACACTCTAGACCAGTGGTAAACAACCCTTTTAAGCTAAAAATCCCTGACCTTGGCCTTCATAAAAGGCAAGAAATACCTATTGAAGCACTGAGAGAAAAAGATGGCCAGTTAGAACTTCCAACTTGCGGCCTTCTGTACTTTGATTTGATTATTTTCATTTGTGAAAACGCCATTTCACAGAGCTAAGTGGATCCAAAGTAGGCACTCACTCTTAGTGCACATGCAGTGAGGAGAGGAAACTGGAATTTGAAAGCTACTACTGCTCAGGATGAAAAGCATCCTCGTCTTCGATGGCCTGTGAGATTTTCTCCAGTTGGGAAAGGTGTCATCCTTCTAGGGCTGTTGCCCAAAAATAAAATCCAGATTTTCTTCTCTGAAACCCGATTTCCGATTACGATTTTTTTGTGTAAAATGACCGCATCCACGTTCTCTTGTGCGGTCCGCTCTGCAACACACTGCTGCCATTCCAGTACGTGGTTTTTCTGGAGCTGTTGAAATAAGTTAGTCGTGCTGTGGTTTTTAACTGCCACAGACTTGAGACAGACTTTACAACGCAGAGTATTTTGCTCTTCATCTGAAGCGACGAAGCCATACCACTTCCACACAACAGACTTGCTCTTCCTCTTGGCAACGAAATCCAACGCCGACATGTTTGTTTACAATGTGTGGAGGACGGAGGCGGAAGTCACTACGGCAACACAGCGCAGCCCTGATATATGAACGGGGATTGTACCATAAATACCCTAGTTAAAATTAAAAATCATTTTTACGATTTTCATGTTTTCTAACTAAATAATTGCGATAACGATTTAAAAACGATTAATCAAACTGGCCTACATCCTTCCGTTCTTTAAATGTCTGGTCTTGGCCTTGAACGCATTCACTGCACTTATCATGTGGGGCAGGTGTCTGCCTTTTCCCTTGAGCTCGTTTTGCTGTTTGGTCTGTCAGAAACCACGGGTCCGGTACCCTCGCATCACCCGACAGTTCCCGGTGCTCCTCGGTCCCTCTCGACAGAATTTTTTTTTATCTCAGGCAGCAAGTCAACAAATCACTGCAGCACTTTGCCGGGACTCAACCACCGGACTTCAGCATGGAGGAGCCTTCCTAAGTGGCATCAAGCTCATCCAATAATGCCTTGAACAAGCAGTTCTGAAGTGCTTTGGCTCGAATCGAGTTTATCAGTTTGTTCCCCAGTGTCATTACATGAAAAAAGTCCATGACCTTACTAGCCAAGGCCTGCTGATAATTCAGACAATGATGATTTACCAAATCAGTAAAATCATTGTCATTACAGCACAATGCTATAAAACCAGAGTGCACACCACACATTGCTGGGGCCCCATCAGTAGTAGTTGCCACATATTTTTGAATGGGAAAGTCATTTTCACGATCATATATTTTTAAACTCATTGTAAATATCCTCACCTCTCATTCTCTCCTTTAAAGATTAAGTGTGTAGAATTTAGTGACAACTAGTGGTGAAGTTGCATGTTGCAGCTGAACACCCCTCACCTCACCCTCCCTTTCAAAACATGTAAGAGAACCTGTGGTGAGCTTAAGTTGTCATAAAAACTCAAAAGGTGTTTAGTTTGTTCAGTTAGGGCTACACTCTCCCAATGTAAATATAAAGTATTTAAATATAAAGGGTCCATTCTATGGTAAAGAATTTGTAYWATTTAGATGATTACACACTAGTGAAAACATCACTAGGATTATTTTATATTCAATTTCTGCCAGTAGATCCCTTTCACCTAAATCTTACATACTGGATTTAACATTTTAATATTTGTTGATCCACATCCTCTGATAGTGACTTGACCCTCCCTGTCACTGTTGCAGGGCCAAGCAGTTTTAATGTTGTCTTTGGTTTTGAATTCATTGAAAACAGTCTGCGGTAATGGCCATTGCTTCCACGAATAAATCACCATCTATAAAAGGCTTTTTGTGTTTAGCCAAAAGGTGATTTCCATGACATAATGCTTCAATAGCAGCCTTATTTTGAGTAGCAAGTTTTGTGAAAAGCGATGGCTGAGCCTTCCACTGTAATTTTACCTTGTCAGCTTTCCTTGTAAGGATTTGGTGGGGAGTCTTTAAATTTCTGATGGTTGCTGTTGTGGTGCCACTCCAGATTTCCTCTTTGCGTTTGGTGGCACAACATGCATAGACACTTTACATACACGTTTTTCACCAAGGTAAAAAGAAAGTTCTCCTCCCATTCTGAATGGAAATTGTATGTTTTACAATTACAGTAAGCTAGCCATGTAAGCTACCTATCACCGTTGGGTAGCGTATATTGATGTCTACGACAATTAACGTACCGGCACTTATCTCTTATCTCATCGGTCAAGGCAGTCCCAAAGATCTCAGCCATGCCAGCTTACTGTTAGCTACCTATCACCGGCGAGTGAGATAAGTGCCAGTTAACTCATCTCTTATCTCAGTGGTTAAGGCAGTAGCTGTTACTCTGAAAAAATACAGCAGCTAGATCAAGAGATGGAGGGAGAGACAGAGAGAGAGGGGGTGCTGATGCTATTGTAAAACAGAACATTTCCTTTTTTCTATTAATTCCGGGAGCTACAGGAAAGTCTCAAAGTGGTTGGCGACCACTGCTCTAGACCATAGATCTCAGGCGTGCTCTCTGAAAACTGTGCTGTGGATAATGTGTCAGGCAATTCCATGTCTTTTCTCTCCTGTACTTGACTGTTATACCACTGGACTCGAAGACACACTCTCAGAATGTGCATGGGGGTAGACAGTAGTTATTTCTTTCTTTTCCCTCGAGAGGCTTGTGGTCTTTATAAATTGTAACATGTATGCCAAATATGTATTTGCAACTTGACACAGGCATGTAGAATAGAAAGCCTATCATCCACAACTTGTACAGCTTTTTTGAGTGTTTTATTTTCGATGACACTGTAAATACTTGCTATAATCTTCCTCTATTCCAATTTGTATTTGCTTCTGTGACATTTCGAACTGCTGGGAGATTTATATAGCTGTAGGCAGTCAGATACTCCACTTTGTCAAGCAGTCTCTCTTGGACAGGCTTCTCCTTTAATCTATTTCCCTGGGCCTTGTTTTTTTTTTTTTTTCAAGAGAGAGGGACACCCAGTCAGACTGAGAATAGCCCGCCACAAGTGGTCATCTAATAGATAAAGAATAAATGGCAATGATTATATTCAAAATGATATGCCAATGAAATCAATGCAGTATTTGGGGATGAGCGGACTAACATAAGGTCCTATCTTATACCCTCTCTCAACCTGTAGCCCATAGGTTAACTGCTATTTCTGGGTCTTTCAAAGCAGATTGAAGGTTATCAGACATGGGATGTATTTGGAAGAAAGCTTAAGGTAACAATGGAATCTTGTCCCAAGCACTTTATTAAATTCATAAAACAATGATTCGGATGCTTCTTTAACTTTTCTAAGCTTTGCTAAGCTCTGTAATTTTGCGGTGTAGAGGGTCTATTCACTTTCTTTCACAAGACAAACATACATGGACATACATGTGGGGGTGGCCATCTGCTCAATAACTTTAAGTATAAATTTACAGTGAGAACATTTCCATTAATGTATGGCGTCAGAAAAGAGTTTTATACTGTACTGTTAAATGTTTTGAGTGGTCATCAAGACTAGAAAAGTGCTACAGAACATTTACTTTGCAATCTCCTTTTCACTGCATTGTTGTTCATCATAAGATAGTGATGGAAAGACTGTCCAAGCTGAGATAGCTTCGGAGTAGCAGTTTTTGGGCAGATATACTGTGTGAAGGAGTCTCACACAAAATAGAAGAGGGCCTGATGCCCTATGAGGTGCAAATGATGGCCACATCTAGGATGGACCTGTCCAGTCTTTGATTTTTGAATCTTCTGAGATCAACAAAAACTGATCTGTTACCAGCAATAACTGTAAATCAATCGTGGAGCAGCCTGTCAAAATAAGAACTGAGTTGACCTGTAATCAAATGTCGGCTCATAGGTGCTGGTGGAGTTTTTCAGGCAAAAGCTTGAGTGCAGGATATAGTGGAAGTGCATAACACCAGAAAAATAAATAAACTGTTAAAATGAATAAATAAAAAAATAAAAAAATAAGAAGCAGGCGGACCATTGCAGTGGGTACACTTTACGCACCACTGGCGCAGCACAGACACCAATATTCACAGTTGATTTTCTAATACAATAATGGAATTTAACAGTAACAGAGCTCATTATAAAAGACAAAAAGTGCCACACCTCATTTTGTGTTTGTGTTTAAAGATATGTGGACTGTTAATATTTTAATCCATCCATCTATCCTTTATTTATACCGTTTATCCTTTGAGGGTCTGGAATGGGAAGGGTGGGGGTCCGGAGCTTACCTTGCTGATGTTTATATGCTGTTGAGCAGTAAAGAAGACTACTTTTTGTGTCCTATATCAGATAATCTGAGCCCAAAGTCTTGTTAAACTCAAATAATTTCAGTGTCAGGGTCTGATATCATCTGGCTTCAAATGTTAGGTCAAAGCTTCAGTTTAGGGTAAGGAGGCAGCTGTTTTTTTAAGATAAGAGATAAAATAAATGAATAAATGTATTAGTCCCTAAAAGAGAAAACTTGCCATTGCAAAATAGTAGCTTCAGAAAAAGTACCAAACAAAATAATCATGCAACAAAAGGAAATAAGGATAATGGGAATCTATAAATCACAGCCTCAACTTGACATCATAAAATGAATAAAATGTCACTACATTTTTCTGGAAACCTTTCATCATAAAATCACAACAATAGACATATGCAAGAATTTATTATTAACATAGTCAAACTTTTGTTTGATGGTACAGTAATATTGATGGGATGTGGTCACAGGTGTGTGTTTAAGGAGTATTTAACAACCGCTTTGTTTAACCAATCAAGGACAGGGACAATCTGTTTTATGAAAGGATTTTTATAAACAAGCTCAAAGTGTCTGCATACATGGAGGTAGAAGTCCCATGAATAAATTAATCAGCTGTCATCAAGCAAGATGTCATTATTTCCCTTTTTGACTTTCATTGCATACTAAAAATACCTTGTGTAGTGCAATCCATGACTAACTACAGTGCCCCTTCAAAAGCGCGATAATGTTTTGAATGAATCCTCTCCTCTCTCTGTCTGCTCTTATTCCAGCTGAGTGAAGTGGAGGTGAATGGCCAAATTGAGCAGTTGTGTGAGCAGGTCTACAGTGAGATGCAGTCCCAGGCCATGGAGGCTGCCATGGACAGTATGGACACCATGGAAACAATGGACACCCTTCCAATGCCAGGATGCTTCCGGATGCGAAGTCCCAGCTATGTGAGGGCGATTGACCAGGGGTGTGCGGGAGAGGAAGAAGGAGAAGAGGGAAGACCACTGCTCCTGCTGCCCTCCTCCCCACCACGCACATCTGCCACTACTGTGAGAACCATCCAGAGCAGTACAGGTAGGGCACTACAGGAAAGCAATGGATGTTCCGTCTCAGTGGGTCTTATGCAAGAACATTTCCTGACTCTTATACTAAATTTCTCTCACATGTGTAATTTTAGTTCATACAAGCATGAAATGTCAGACTCAGCAAACACTTCTAACTACGAATGAATGCCAACTGTGCGTACTTAAGCAAAGGTGCACAAGGATAGCAAATTGGTATTATTACCACCCCAAAAATACCATACAAAGATATCCTTTCTTTCACATGTCAGAAGTATACATTCATGAAAATGGCATCAAAGTGTAAAAGGAGGAATTTCAAAATCTTTTGATATGAAAGTGACTTGAAAAATGTCCCACCGAGTACTGACTGTAGCTGTAGGAGAAGTCTCAGTCACTGTCAATAGGTGATGTTGCACTGGCATGTTTTCTGTTAGTGCAACAAAAATGGACAATGACAGTTTCTAAGCCTTTTTCAGTTTGACCCTGTAGTCAGTTATGGAATGCTGCAAAAGAGAAGAAGGGTGTTACATTCGGTGAATGCAATTGACTATCAGGTTTCCTCTTGACAAAAGATGTAGGCTACTGGTTTAACAGTGATCATTTTGTTATAATTCTTATTTTGAAATCTGGACTGCAGTTCTGTGGATTACATAAATTACATAAATAGACAACAGTGTTTAAAAAACACTTTTTTTCTTGCTTGAGTCAAACAGTTATTTCAATAGGGGAGAATTTGTTACATTTTTGTTCAGTGTTTGCACTGAATCAGATGGTAAGATTTATAGTCCCGTATAACATGGTGTAGTACACACATAACAAGAGAAAGAATTATAAAATGCTTGGGGCTGCAGTTGCACGCATAACTGCACTCTGCAATCTGATGTACGCTGTAACAACAAACCAGATATCACACAAAGATAATCTTTTCAAAGCATAAAATGCTGTCGTCATATATGTGGTATTTGAATGCAACCCACAGGGGCTTTGTGTCAGCTGTTTGGTATTGGGAATGTCCTTTTTTTCAAAGTGCTCAACTGGAGATGACCTACATATAATGCTCCTCTGGGAATTCTTAGTTCACCAAGACGATATATGGATGCACACACACACACACACACACACACACACACACACACACACACACACACACACACACACACACACACACACACACACACACACGCACACACACACACACACACACACACACACACGCACACACACACAGGCATGAATGTGTATGTACCAGAGATGGGGACTCGAGTTTGCGACCCGGACTCGAGTCGCACTTAAGTCGCACACAAAGAGACTTGAGACTTGACTTGGACTCCTGCTCAAAAGACTTTGGACTCAACTCGGACTCGTGTTTTGGGACTCGTGAACAATCATTATGTTTTCTATTTTTGCCGTATTAACATTGAGGAAACTCTGAAACGTCTGACGGGCGTCCTTCCTTATATAACACCATGGCGATATATATAATCGCCATGGTGTTACCCTCATCTGAGATAGTGCGAGAGGCGCGCGCCTTCGTAATATGGTTACCATGGTTACCATGAAAAAAAAGGAAGGACGCCCTTCAGTTTCCTCAATGTTAATACACCAAAAATAGAAAACATAACGATTGTTCACGAGTCCCAAAACACGAGTCCGAGTCGAGTCCGAAGTCTTTTGAGCAGGAGTCCAAGTCAAGTCTCAAGTCTCTGTGTGTGCGATTCGAGTCGCAAACTCAAGTCCCCATCTCTGTCAGGTACACAGTAACATTGTTCTGGGTTGATCACTAGCTCAATGCAGGCCTTCAGTCTGTTCAATTTAATAAATCTGTGCATAAAAGGGCCACTGGTCTCCAGTTCTATAAAAGGCTAAGATCTCCCTTCTTAGGCAGTAGTGAGAGAACTGCAGGCCTACAGGAAGTAGGAAGTGTCCCATTTTTAAAACACTCTTTAAAAATGTCTAAAATGTCTGGTCCCAGAGAGAAGTGTATAAAAAAGTCAGACTGCAATCCTGGGGCCTTTCCGTACACCATCTGTGACACAGCCCTGATCAGTTCCTCTAAGGTGATGTCAGAATTGAAGGACTCTTTATCACCAGGATTCAGCAGAGAAAGATAAAATAAACTCCATTAAAACAAGATGATGGTCAGTAAATGCAACAGAGAAGATCTAATAGTTAAAAACCTGATTAGAAAAGGAGGCAGAAAGGTAGAACCTGTTTAACCTGTCTCCAATGATCCTTCCATCTAAAAATTTGACCCAGGTGTATTGTTGGGCTGAAGGATGCTTCAACCTCCACACATCCACCAGATCTACTTTTTTATGACCTCAGATAAAAGCAAAGATGACTGAAAGTGTGGCTCCCCCTCGTCCTATCTAAATTAAAATCTATTCTGCAGTTCCTGTCTCCACCCTGCACAATTCACTCTTCTTGGTCAATGCCACTTAATGTTTCTTTAAAAAAAATTTAAAACTCTTTACCGCTCGGACCCTTGATTTGCTGCATAAATATTGATAAAACTGAATTGAACATATTTTACTTCAGCTTTCACCAACAGGATTCTGTCTTGTATGATCTCTGAGTGAGAGATAATATTTAAATTGGACGTGGAGGAAAATAAAATGGCAACTCATGCACTTAGATTGACCTTATTTATACTGTCACTGTGTGTTTCTTGTAGAAACACAACATCTAGCCTTTTCTGCTGAATTGTTTCAGATAAAACTGCTCTTTTCTTTGCATCTCTGCCCCCATTTATATTTAAAGACGCCACCCTTAGACCTTGCATAAAAAGAGAGGAGAGAGAAAACAGAAAAACAAAAAAGCGAAACACCCAGTGACGTACCAACATGTTTATTTAGATGTTTTCATCTTCTTAACTGTTGTCATGTTTGATTTCTCTTGCATGCTGTATGATTGTCTGACCTTCCTTGCAGGGAATAAAGTATACTTAAAACACTATTATTCTCAGATGTCTTTGTTTCAGAAGTCTCACCAGGTCAAATTTACATCACACAAGNGATATGCCGTAAATAACCAAATAATAGATGGGGCGTTTATTTGTTTCAATCACTTAACAGACCAGGCGTTTATTTGGGACCAGGCGGCAGAGGAAACGGTTTAGTCAACCAGCACTCACGGCAAAGTCCTCATCTCTGCTGTCACTCAGGGTGGAGCACATTTGTTTTGCCATCGCCCTGATCATTTTGCGGGACACTCTCGTGGCATGCCCGTTTGCTGATAACCCATTCCCACATGTTTATTTCAAGCTCCTCGTTAGCCTTCTTCCTCCCTCCAGCAGGCAGCCTGGCTCTTTTGCTGTCCTCCTCGGACAGACGCTGAAGCTCAGTTTTATTTTTTCGCCAATCTCTCACTGTTTTGGGGTTGACAGAGAAATGTGCAGCAGCTGCTTCTCCCGAGTTTTCCTCTGCATATTTTATGACAGAAAGTTTGAATTTCAAGTTGTATTTTTGTTTTTTTTGCTCGACGGAGCCTTGGCGATCATCAGAAAGCAAGCACAATAGCTGTGCAGTATCCTTAACAGACTGGATAGCGGCGATGATAGAAGGCTCATTACAACCAGAAGAGACATGAGACTTTTATTTTTTAGAGACTTGAGACTTGACTTGGACTCATGACCAAAGACTTGAGACTTGATCAAGTCTCACCCCACAAAGACTTGAGACTTGACTTGGACTTGTGACCAAAGACTTGAGACTTGACTTGGACTTGCAAAAAAAGACTTGTGAACATCTCTGGTATGTACAGTATATTCACTCATGCACAATCTTACCATTCCACTGCAGTCACACAGGAGAGTAGATGGTGTGCTTTTCCACCACATAACTAGAAATTGGGCTGGTAAATGTTGTCTTTGAATATAAGGTAGGGAAACACACAACAGAACATTCTCCTCCTGGGAAGATAACCCCAACAGATGAAAACTGATAATCAAGTTTTGTGACAGTCCTATCTTTTAATTTCTTCTGTGTATTTTCTGAGCATTTTTGTAAGCTTTTAGGGGGGTTTGCCACAATGCTTTTGAGAAACTTGGGCCTAAAATGGCACAGACCTACTTAGGAAGGTTTAAAGGCTCTAATGTTCTAATTTTCCTCATACTTTCCATTTCTGCATCACCTTTTCTCATTCTCCGTCTGAAAATTTTGGTTTTAACTAATGTCTCTTTAAGGCCCCTCTCCCAATAAAGCCTAGTCTACTTTTTTTGCCAGCCTAGTTTACAGTGTTGTGATGGGTCGAGCGCTTCCACCATGTGTAGGAAATGTTGCTCACCGCTCTCGCTTTACCTTGGTTTGTTACGGGGGAATGCATAGACTGTATATTGCTAGGGGATGGCTCCAAAAATCTCTGGCTGCATAGACCGCCATTTAGAAAACGTCAACTTCTTCTCATGAACAACCAAGTCCATATATGGTAACTGACTATTTCATATAGCGATTTTCTAGTCAACGACCACTCAAAGCGCTTTACAGTACAGTTTAGCCATTCACCCATTCACCCATTCACACACATTTATACCATGCATCTATGTGCAGCACTTTCTCTATCATACATCATGCATGCACTGTCGGGGCTATTTGGAGATCAGAATCTTACCCAAGACACTTTGGTGTGCGGAATTTGGGAGACTGGGATCAAAGCACCAACCTTCTGGTTGTTGGAGAACCCGCTGTATCTCCTGAGCCACATCCGGCCAAATATATTTTTTCCATACGTCATTATGGTTTCAATAGTTAAATCCACTTTTTTATCAGTGTTCTGGTGATCAACTGGATATGAGGACTAAAGGGGCGATAGGCTTGTGGGAATGCTGGTATGATTGACAGCAGTGTTCTGAAATGATAGCCAGCCACTCTGACAGTTCAGACGGGGTGGACTGGAGGGTAATTTACTGCTGCAAACACATTGTTTTGCTACATTTACCCTTAATTTTTCTGTTTCACAAAACGTTTGGCTGTTTGTATTGATGAGTTTTGGGTTCTGATTATTGCTTGTTCT